GTGTTCTAAAGCCTTCCTCTTCACCTTCTGCCACCATTTGCACCTTCCCATCAGTGAAAGGGAACCACAGGAATCCGTTGTGAATCGCAGGATGAGCTTCCTGAAGCATCAACTGGGCCTTGCCAATGAAGATATCAAAATCGTGCAGTATTTAGCTGAGCTGCTGAAGCTGCAGTACATTCAGGAACCGGGTCAGGGGGGGAACCCCCTGCTCAGATTTGACTATGTTCCCAGCTTTTTGTACAAAATCTAGCCTTGTGTGGGCTGTGTGCCCACGTGCTCGGAGTCTGACAGAGCTCATCCGTGCTTGACATTGCCGCTGTCTGCAGTAGCTCTCACACGTCGGGAAGGGGATGAGGTGTTTTGTGTCTCTGCTCCGCAGAAATCTGTGTCTGCAGGAGTGGAATTCTGGGTGTTCCCTGTAGCCAAGAATGTAGATGTTGCATCACATAAACCATCAGGCACTCTGTAAATGTTAGAAGGGGCACTGTTCACTTTCAAAGCGGATCGTGGCAGCATCCCGAGGGATTATAGCATGGAGAGGGGTGGGGTGTCTTGGGGATCGATGGTGTGCAGCCCCCAAAATAGCACAGTGCTCCACACACCTCTGCCAGGACCCTGAGCACTCTCAGTCTCTTCCATGGAGCCAGAGCAGAGACCAGACAGGAGGTGTAAAGGCCACGTGAAGATTTCTAATGCACTGGTGTCTCACGTGAGTGCCGCTCAGGGCTCCCTGGCAGGGTGGCAGCTTGCAGGTCCCTGTCTGTGTGCAGCCGTAGCAGGTGGCATCCCTTCCTGCATTTTCTGAGTTTCTGGCACTGCCCAGGATAGATTATCCCTGGGTGGGTGGGAGCACAGAAGAGGCTTACATGCTTCTCTCCAGAAATGGTTTGCCAGTTCCTCCCAGCTTTGTTAAAACCAGGAAAGTGGAAGCAGTCGTGACACTGGCAAGCACCGAGGTGCCTGCTGCTGTGAATGTAGAGCACTGTGCCTTGTTCATTTGTCATGTCCTATTTGCTGGGTGACCTCCGAGAAGGATGGGAGGGAGACTGGGAATCCTCAAAGCATGTGAGGTCAGGGGTGGCTTTCTAAGGAGAGAAGGGAACTGAATGAGGGTGGGGGCCCTCATTTTTTAGGTGCTTTTCATGATGGGGAGACGAACCATGCGATTTAGCTGGAGCTACGCTGTGAGGCAGCAGGCTGTTAGCACAGGCTGCTTGGCTGGTGAGGTACTAGTGCTCAGGAGAGATCGGGGATGAATGTACTTGGATTCCACGTTGTATCCATAATAGTTTTATTTTATTTTATTTTTGGGAAGTTGACATTTGTGCTTTGTGGTAAAACAGGGTCGGCGTCGCTGCGAACTGCTTCTGGCCAAGTTGTTGTTGCATCTCGACTACCTCTCCTGGGTAGCTCTGGATGGGGCAGAACTGCTGCTTGCTGAGCCTGGATGCCAAGGACTTTCTTTTCAAAGCTTCTGTGCCATAAAAGATGTGCCACCAGTGTGGTGACACTTCCAGATTGTTCCTGTCAGTGCCGAAAGCTTTGTGCCTGGGTGCAGCGCTTCCCTCCGGAGTCTCGTGGGAGATACTGAGCCTGGGCTGCTCTGCCTGGTGCCATGTGGCAGTAGCAACCCCCGTGGTAGTTCTGAGCAAGAAAAGCCCTTGCTGGGAAAGGTAATCTTGGGTTTATTTCTTTTTGACACTGGTTGTGGAGTGCAAACAGCTGAGATCGTACAAGAGCTGATGCACTGTTTGGTTTGTTGGGTTCTTTTTAAACCTCTGTTTTATGGTGATGATGTGAGGCAGTGTTGGGAATGAATGTGATCTTCCTTCTGAGCCTGGGAAGTTTCTGTGTGCATCCTGGGCTTCCCCAGAGTGACTTAGACCTTACTGAGACTTGCTGTGAGACATGCACTGCTCCAAAACCCATGTCCCAAAGGCAGGAAGGCTCCTTGGGGAAGCTGTTGTCTGGCACCAGCATCTGTGCCTCAGGACTGCTGCTGCCTCTTTCTCTTCCCTGGAAAGGGCTCTCTGGGATATAAACCCACAGGCCAGAAAGGTTATTTTAAAGGTTAATGCTATTTCTGGTGGCTCAGCTGAGCCAGGTGAGCTCTTGGTACTCTTCAGAGGGATTTCCCAGGTTAGGGGTGGTTAGTGATGGTGTTTTGAGGTTGTGGTTGGAAGCACTGTGGTGTGGCCTTTGCTGAAGGTGAGCAGTATGTCCCTGTGGAGCTGCTCACCTCTAGTGAGTCTTTAAAGCCTTTTCCTGTCTTACCTGTCACATGTGAACTGGGTCTGCTGGTGAAAGACTTGTGTGTCCATCAAATCAGCTGCTTCCTGAAGCAACTTGAGGTGTTCCCTGGTTGATTCTTGTGCACCCAAACTTCCACACTAAAGCTGAGGTGAGATTCTCTGGGGGAAGAGGTATCTCAGTAAATGAGTAATACAGGTGTGACACCAGGCAGACGAAAGCTCCCAGTGTCCTGCCTGACCTGCAGCTCTGGAGCAGTGCTC